ACCTCATGTGACTGAAAATGGAAGAAGGGGAAAGAGGCCCTCATCACACCCCATCCCAAAACCCCCATGGGGAAGCTGAGGTTGGGTCCCTGTAGATCCATTTATTTTAGAAGGTACTTGGTCCTGAAGCATTTGTTTCAGAAATTACCCCCATGCCCCATCAATAGTAGCTTTCAACGGCTCTTCCCGGGTGGGCTTGTCTCTGTTCAATTTCATTTCCTGCTGGAAAGGATAAACAGGTAACTGTTTAATGCCACTGACTGGACTCATTTAACAGAAAAACAGGACCTGAGTGAAGCTGGGGGACCAGGGTGGGGTTGATGGGTGGAACGAAGCAGCTGGGGGAAGAGAAAGGCACTAAAGAACACCAACGGATGGGGCTTATTTCACTGCTCCTGCATGTGAGGGAGCATGGCCCACAGGAGGAGGGGATAGGAATGCATAGGAAGGAGTGTAATCAGCTGCCACTTTGAACGTGGATCCTAGATTTGGCCTGGAAGCCTTGGTGGGGATCCTGGCACTGCCCCTCACTACTGGTGCCCTTCAGCCAACTCCTTCAAGCCTGATGAGCCTCAGTGGCCTGTCTGTTCTCCCATACAATGTGGTATGAATTCGAATGATGCATGCAACATGCTTAGCCAGTGCCTTGCACATAGTAGGTATTCACTTGCAGCAGCTATGAATCGGCACAGCTGGGATAGGAACCCAAACAATTTAGCACCTTGTTTCCTACTACATACCAGACACTGTGTTGGGCAATAAGAGCATGAAAGAGCCCCTGGCTTTAAAAAGGCAGGCAAAAAATAGATAATTTCAGTATAGCATGGTAAGGACTCTGATCAAGATAGACATGGGGTGATATGGTACCCCACATAGGAAGTATTTGGAGGCACTGTTGATGGTCAGTGGGATTGATAAAAGGATTCATTCATTGTCTCTCCCTCTCTCTTTAGAACGCAAGGTCCAGCAAAGCAGTGATGCTGCCTATCTTATTCAGCACTATGCCCATTAGGAGCACTAAAGGAATGCTTAAGGCGGTACTTAAGTAAAGAAGGAGTTAGCGAGGAGAATGAGGTTTATTAAAGGCAATCCAGTCAGAAGAAACTACATGAACAAAGGCGCAGAGGCTAGAAGTAGAGTGATATATTTAGGGAGTTAGAGGCAGGTTGTTGAAACAAATGAAGTAAAAAGTACGGGGGTAGGGATGATGTGAGAGGAGTCAGCAGGGGTAAGACCACGGAGAACCTTGCTTATCAAGCTAAGAAGTGTGGTGCTGATGTGGGTGAACGTTCATGTGTGCAACATTCATCCAGAGTGGAAAAGCTGTGGACATGGGTTGATTGAATCGGATCTAAAATCTCCAAAATATGCTTTCCCTACACGCCTGCCAAAATACCTATGACTTTTGTTTTACTGTAAAGCCCAAAGTAATAATCATATTAACCAAAAACAGCTGTTCCTTCTTACTCTCCAATTAGTTTATCAGATTTGCGAGCCGGGTCAATTTTCACAACAACCAGATGAGGTAATTACTTTTGTTATCTCATATTACAAGTGAGGAGACCAAAGCACAGATAGGTAGGGTGGCTTGCTCAAAGTCACACAGAATTTAGGTAGTAGACACAGGATTCAAACTTAGTCACCTGGGCCCCAGAGTTCATTCACTTAACCACCATGTTATCTCAAATCTATCTTCCAGTTCACCATTTCTCTCTTCAGCTGAATGCATCCACTGTTTGACCCATTTGAATGAGCTTTTAATTTCTATAACTCTGTTTTTCAGTTCTAGAATTTCTACTTGGTTCTTTTAAAATCTCCTTTTCTTTTTATCATATTATCCTGTGCTTGCCCTATGGTTTCTATTTCCTCTTCACCATGAGACATTTTATTTATTTATTCTTCCCATGAAATATTTTAAACATATATTCTCTCTCAAATCGATCTATTGTCTTTAGTTTTAAGGTATGAGCTCTTTGTGTTTTGTCTACTGACTCTTGCCAAGGGTAGGCTTCTTTTATTCCTCTCCTGCATGTACTATAATTTTTAAAAGCGAACTTAACATCAGTAGGGATCTGCTGTTGTTATTTAGTGGTTCTGATTTTTAAAATTTTGTTTTTGGTGGGAGCGCCACAGGCACTGGGATATTGAGACATTTTGTGAGCTGGTTTTAGGTTGTCCCCTGTGAGGGTCTCGGAGTTTAATCAATTCCAGACCAAGTTCTTACATTCTCTTCTTGGTTTGTAGCTTGTGTATGACATGAGAAGAACTCCAACCCCCAAGCCCCACATAACACAGATTGGGGCTTGTATTTCCCCTGGGTGACCCCAACAGCCCAGGGTGGTTCACAGACTTCCACACCACATCCTCAGTAGAATCGTCCTTCTTTCATGCTCGGTCCAGTCATTCCTCACTGACAGCCTAAGCAGCAAGTTTGTTTCCTATGACCTCAATTCTCATCCTCATGGGATACTGAAACTCTAGCCCCCGAGAACCATACACATTTCCCATATTTTTATAAAACCCTTTATTTAATTCCTTCTTGCTGATCATTGCTCTATCATGGAGCTTGTTCTTCTGGTACCTGGAGATTTCTCCTTTTTGTGGTGCCAGCCTGTCACTGAATTTTTTTTCATTGTATCCTTCCACCAGCATCTCTGTGTAATTAGGGGGGAATGTCCCTTGACAGCCCAATTGACCAAAATGACCAGAAGGCTTTGATTATACATTTAGATATCAGTCTTTCCCACCTGGCTCTATGTTCAGGGAGGACGGAGACCTTTGTCTAATTCATCTTTCAATACTAGTTTTTCAGACAGTGCCCAGACCAGAGTAGGAAGCAAAAAAGATTTAATCAATGAATGAGTTAATTAATTCATTGAATTAATCAATGAATTAATCAGCTTTCTTTCTCATTCTAAATGGGAATGAAAGGCCATATACTAATTTTCTTCTAGAGAAATATGACACCAAGAATCTCTGGAAAGCCATCCACATCCTCTGAAAGGCCATGCTGAACAAACAGAAAGTTTGGGGCCAGTCTTAGTCCAGCTTTTGAGCAAGTAGGTTCACAGCTATCGATACTACTTTCTTGACTGCTAATTACAGTGCTGGTCTGGTAGAAATTCAACGTCTGGCAGCCTCGGCTCTTGACTGGGGCTTCTGCTGCCTTTTTAGCATGTATCTGATGTCCTTTTATAGCCATAACTGGAACCTGATCAGCAATATGCAGTGTACAATGATATCATTTTTGCTCTTGGTGCCATAAGGAGCTTGCCAATTATGTTCACATTCTTGAAAACACCTAGCAAAGTGCTTGTCACAGAGTGGGCACTGAGTGGACATTTAGTGTGCTTAATGTCTTCTTTCACATCAAAAAAAATTCATAAATATTTGTTGTAAATCTACTGCCTCCTAGGCATTGTGCCTGGTGCGGGACATGGAGAGGAATAACATACAGTCCCTGTTTTCATCCTAAACTAGAAAAAGAATGTCCAAAATAATGTTGACAAGAGAAAATTATTCTAAACTTCCTTTTATTTAAGGTGAAAGGATATCTCACGTCATCCCACCACCCTAAAATGCCTAATAAAAGTATAAGCATCAACATAACCTTGCCTATTACTGTTTTATAAGGTTTTCTCTTCAAGGAGAAAATACAGCTCAGTGAACACATGAGCTGACAAAGAGAGCTGATTATAAAAGGCATCTGACATAAAGGACAATGATTTCTGAGCTTGAATCACTACAATCCCAGAATCTAGAATCACACGTGAACTAAAGCAGAAACTCAGTAACTTTGTTGAATGTATTTGCACGTATATATACAGATGTGCCCATCCAGGTATATGGCCTGAGATAAGTTGTGACTCATTATTCCACACACATTTATTGAGGATTTCCTATGAACAAGAGTCTATCCTAGATTTTGTGATGGAGACAAAGACAAAGAACGAGAACAAAATAGAAATCCTACTTACAAGGAACTTTCAGTCTTCAGAATGAGATAGACAGGTATATAAATCACCATGATATAACACAGAAAATGCTAAGAGAAGAAGAGGGGAAAGGGCTATGGAAGTTCCAAAGAAGGAAAGGCCCCTTCCTGCTGAGGGATTAGATAAGACTGTGGCTAATACAGAATTTGTTCTTGGTCTTGAAGGATACGTAATTTGTGGCAAGCAGAAGGGAGAGAATGGTTACTGGCAAGGAAAAAAGGGGTGATTCAGGTGGAAAGAATAGCTTAGGCAAAAGAGGGAGGAAGAAAAGCACAGGGTATATAAGAAGAAATAGAAATTTCGATGGAGATACATAAAGGGACATAATGGGGAGTAGAGGGAAACAAGCCTGGAAGGGTAGGATGAGCCAGCCCGCAGGGGCTTTGGATGTGTCCCAATTTACCATTCCAGGACACAGGATCTCTGTGGAGTAGCCGGTGCTTAGCATATGGCGGAGCTTAATTAATACTACAACAACTCCATAGCAGGAACCTGTTCCCCACGTGCACACGGGAAGCCGCCATCTGTACGCACAGGCAATTACAAACATTCCAAATACTCTGCTCTGAACCCTGCAAGCACATCAAATACTCACTGTAAAAGGTCACCCAGCAAACAGCTCTGATCAATCCTGGCTCAGGCAGAATCAAATCCCCTAAATAAGATCCACTAGATGCAATGTCAGGAAGGTCAGAAACAACCCTATTTCACATCTTGAAGCATTTTTACCATATGGAACATTTTAGAGGAAGAAGGGAAAGGAAAGGGGGGGGAACCTCTCCAGAAATAATAGAATTCCAAGTAATTAAATGTTAAATAATCACAAAGTAAGCAAGGGATTTATTTTGCCCGCCCCCCCCCCGCCCCCAAGGATCTAAGAAGCAGTTGATTTCAAAGAAGGCCGTGCCAGGATTAAAAATGGAGTTTCACGCCTCCTCCCCTCTACCTCCTCCTCCCCCTGTCCACCTCCCCCCACCACCTCCCCTATGCATCACCATTGTGTACCTTTGTCGAGTTCACTTGAAATGTTCCACGATGAGGTAGGCACTAACTCAGCAGTGACTGACAACTCTGTTTCTGGAAAGAAAAAGAAGGGAGGGGAGAAAGACAAGGGTGATATTAAATATATAAGTAACTTATGGGCTGTTAGAAGCATTACAGGAGATTTCCAAAGCCCTGCCTCCTGAGAGAGACCAGGGCAATCCCAGAGCTTATTAAGCTGGAATAGGGCTCTGCTCGCCCAGCAGAGGTGCCTGCATTACAGAGGCTATCCAGATGAACAATCTGTAGACCAGCTTGCAAGGCTGTTTTCTTTAAAACGCGGGCTTGAAAATTAAAATACAGATATTTCATGAACAAAAAAACCAAGCCTGCAGAAATGACCAAACATTATCAAACATAAACTTTTCTTTTTCTTATTAGAAGACCACTCCTAGACTAATATATTCAATAGTCTTTCCATGGAAAATGAGAGCCACATGGCTCTTGCTGATTTTATTTGTTGTATTCATGAATTGATAGGATTTCTATTAATAGAGAAATCTATGTCTCTACATTGAAACTTATAGTCAAGACAAATGAAAGCTGAGCATTTGAATACAAGAGTCAATTGAGGTAACTAAACTTAAAAGGCAATTTTCAAAACCACCATAAATTTAGAGCCACCTGGGGCAGTTAAGCATCTGCCTTTTGCTCAGGTCATGATTCCAGGATTCTGGGATGGAGCCCCACGCTGGGTTCCCTGCTCAGTGGGGAGTCTGCTTCTTTTTCTCCCTCTGCCCCTCCCCCTGCTCGTGCTCTCTCTCTCTTTCTCTCTTAAATAAATAAAATCTTAAAAAAACCACCATAAATTAAAGCAAATAAGCAAATCAACAATCTAAAGGGCACAATACACTGTGAAGATTTAAAAACTCTTCAGTAATACACAAATGATGTTTTTGTTGTTGTTTTTGAAATTTTAAGCCACGACACCATCTACTAGCACATTTTAATAGGGTTTCACTAACCTCCCCTTAGGCCATATCTACACACACACACACACACACACACACACACACACACACACTGTATTATAGAACTTTAGTTCTGAGCAGGATCTCAGAGAACTCAGAGCCTATGATATTAGATACAGGGCACCTGGGTGCTCAGACTTTGGCTCAGGTCATGATCTCAGGGTCCTGGGATCCAGCCCCATGTTGGGCTCAGCGTTTAGCGGGGAGTCTGCTTATCTCTCTCCCTCTGCCCCTTGCCCAGCTCGTGTTCTCTCTGTCTCAAAATAAATAAATAAAATCTTAAAAAAAAAAAGATATATGGCACCCATGCTGTCAATTCTCCTTCCTTCAATCTGGTACAGACATCATTATGAATTACAGCCCTTTTTGCCCTATTAAACCTGGGATCTGCCTTAGAGTCTTTTCAACACAGTACTCTAGGTAGCCACTAAAAATGGTTCTGAAATGCAAGGTGAGCTTTTTAGTGGGTGGAAGAATTGGGATTCAAATCCAGGTCTGTCTAATTGCCCACACCGCCCTAGTAGCTCATGCTACTTGGTACTCAAGTCTGTGAAACCCGATTTGTTTTTCATCCTACCTCTCTGGCTTCACCTTTTTACCTAGACAAGCACACTTTCTTCCACTTCCTTATTTACTGAGGGGCTTGGCTGCCACTTGGCCATAGATGCCACACACCACAGTCAGTGAGTTTTGCCAAGAACAGGATGTTTACCCACTGGGACCTTGCAAAGGCCCACTTCTAGTTTGTCTACTGGGTCTCTGGTCAACTTGTCACACACAGCAGAGACAAAAGGGTTGTTTGGTTTTCCTCTTTCCCTGTCCAAGAGCAGCTGGGAAAGAAAGTAGAAAAACCACACACACTCTACCCAACCCAAATGGCCCCAGTCCCCTCCTATGTCCTGAGGTAAAAACAGCATAGATTCTTTTAAGGGGACGTGAAGCCAGATGGCATGGCAAGAACCTGAAAGCACATTAGATTCCAAAATATGAAATGAGAAAAGTATCCCAAGTGGGAAAAATGCTTAACCCAAAACCACAGTAGAAGGCAGTGCTTCTGCCTGGTATGAACCACTTGTCCTAGGAATGAGTATTTCGTGCAGGTGATTTCACGAGGAAGATCTAATTGTCTACACTCAGGGGCCCTCCGTGAATGACTCCAACCACAGCTCCACTCTCAACCCAATCCTGTTGCCAGCCACTTCGGCTCTTTGAATAATGGCCTCTTGTTTGCAGTATTATGGACGACTGTGGTTCACGATATAAAAGGGCTCATCAAGCACTGCAATCCCCGGACTTCAGGGAGCTTGGGAATGGAAACATGGCAGCCAAGGCAGCATTTCAGGCAAGGAAGCGAAAGGTGGGGAAGAGGTGGGATTAAGATCAACCTTGACAGTATTTACATTCAACATTTTCATAGCTTCATCTTACTGCTTCTCACAGTTAAACTGCCAGAAACAGGTTTCATTTTACAGTATGAATTTTATAGAAAGTTAGCTCTATGTCACTTGGTTTTTCTAACCTGAGTTTGAGTTGCTGATTGAATATAATTTGGGACCGATGACAAATGAATAGATTCTTGGCACTGTTAACAGTAAAACTGTTCCCCATGTGTCCCTGGACACTAATTACTACTCCGCTCTTGGACTGTGGAAAAGATCATTTCAATTCACAAGCTTATTAAGTGATTGTGATGATTCTGAGGAATTTTGTTCACAGCCTCAAGATCTATTCCTTTAGATAACCACATGTTCAGCTTTTCAGATAAAATGATAATAAAAACAGATAAAACATCTTAAAATATCAATAACCTCCCTGAAAAATATTATCTTCCACATTTTTTAAAAGAAAGGCTGATTATTTTCTGCGAAAAGTTAAGTAATGGTAATTCCCCGTCACAAAAAATGATGTTAATAAGCTTCCCCTCCCCCGAAAGGAAGGTTGACCTTTACATGAGAAAAATTCAGTACTTTTCAACTTGCGCTCCATGGAGTCCAAGGTCAGTAGCAGCTTTAGAGAGAGACACAACCACCAGCCTTGACCATGTAGGATCTCCACTGATGGATTCAGCTTCTTTTCTATGTCCTCATCATGGCAAAAGGATGAGATATTTCCAAGTACATTTAATATCCGACTAGCAACACCTCTTTGTGTAAAATTATTGTGGTAAGAGCAAACTGGTATGTGCCAATTAGGATATAGTAGAATACTTAATGGAAACACACACCTACATTAAAATACTAATTTTATGATCACGAGCAAGTTACTTAACAACTTTGGACCTCTATTTTCTCATCTGTAAAATGGGGACAATAAAAGCCACCTCCCAGCACTGTGGTAAGGATTACATTAGATTATGGTCCAAAGGGGTCCCGCATACTGTCCAGCACAGAGTGGACACTTGAGATCTTCTGTGCCTTCCTCTCTGTCTAGTAAGGCAGATAATAACCACCCTCTAGGCAGACATACTCCTGGTTAGCTGCTATGTCACCGTCTAGGTTTGAAACAACACATTCTCTCTCTTTTAGGAAAGACTCTGTATTTCTCATGCCTTACTAATCTAAGCCAATCTTTTCATTTTTGTGGTTTTCCCGAATTGGTCACCAGTTCTCTTAAGAACATAAGTGCTTTTGGGGCGCCTGGGTGGCTCAGTCGGTTAAGCGTCTGCCTTCGGCTCAGGTCATGATCCCAGGGTCCTGGGATCGAGCCCCGCATCGGGCTCCCTGCTCCGCGGGAAGCCTGCTTCTCCCTCTTCCACTCCCCCTGCGTGTTCCCTCTCGCTGTGTCTCTCTCTGTCAAATAAATAAATAAAATCTTTAAAAAAAAAAAGAACATAAGTGCTTTTATGTACTTTTATCTAATTTAGGCAAATCAAGTGTGTTTTAGAAAACTCCAGCCCTTATCTTCCCTGACCTCTGCAGGAGGGCAGACCATTCTTCTCCCGATTTGATCAATAGGAGCTATTATCTTTGCAGTTTCACTGATGATTGACTTCTTGGCACTGATTCTGCAAACCATAAGGTTTTGGTATTTAAGCCTGAACAGTGGGAGTGTTATTTGGAGGAAAGGAAAAAAAAATAAGCCTTGAATCCTCCTCATTGATAAAAGCCTGTGCTCTCTGAAAGGATTACTGGTTCATCTCAGCAGTTGGCAGGTAGAGACCCAATGTTCACAGGATGTAGAAGCTCTTGCAAGAAGCACCCAGCCATGCCACATCCTGTATCCTGATGCAGGGATACGTGAGGTTACACAGACACAAACCAGCATATCAGGAGACTAGTGGCCAGCCCAGTGGTCACAAGGGCCAAGTATGAAGGAATAAATGGCTACCCCAGTGCCCTTCCTGACCAGAGCCACTGAGTCCCAGAATGTTATATCTGGGTGTGCCCTAGTTACACTCTGTTTTTTGCACCCACCGGATTTTGTGGGGGTATCTTTATAGAGGAACATTAGAGGCTTTAGGGGGAGAGAGGACAAGAGGACAAGGCTCTAGACCCTCCTTCAACAGGAACAATTTTCCATGTCTCTGTTTTACCTATCAGATATTGTGGAAAAGGCTCTGATGCTTTAAACAAAAACAAAAACAAAACAACAACAACAACAAATTAAGCTTCTAATATGGTACAGTCTCATTTTACAGATGAAGAAAGTGAGGCCCACGGCAGTCAAGTGACTTAGCAAAAATCACAGAAGTTCGGGCACCTGGGTGGCTCAGATGGTTAAGCATCTGCCTTCGGCTCAGGTCATGATCTCAGGGTCCTGGGATCGAGTCCCGCATCGGGCTCCCTGCTCCTTGGGAGCCTGCTTCTCCCTCTGCCTCTCTCTCTCTCTCTCTGTCTCTCATGAATAAATAAATAAAATCTTAAAAAAAAAAAAAATCACAGAAGTTCCACGTAGGGCCAGGCCTTAGAAATGGCTTAGAAAGAAATGCATTGCTGCCTTCTCTCTGTGCTCCATTGTCTTCTGTCTGTGCCCCTAAGATGTGATACGTGTCCTTAGAAGTTGAGTTCAGAGAGACACACAGGGCATTTTCAAACGTCCAGGGTCAGTCACACAAAACGGGCACAC